AAATAAGTAAAGACATCCTTTTTCTACTTTAAAGTCCACAACATTGTCGGCTTCATTCATTAAATATGCATTAGAAATGCTCTTTCAACATTGACCAATTAAAAATGTATGAAATTAACTAGTGCGAATGCTCTGCGTAGAAATGCCTGATGGACTAAGAAATACCCTGGACTATAAAACACCCTGTTCCCACCTGCTTTCTATGAGCTTATTTGCCATGTAAATTTAATGATTATAATAATATTAATATGGCATACAATAGCTATATGAGCAAAAGTATGATTATTTGCAATATGGGGAACATAATTTTTTATTTGTATATATACATATACATAAAACGTGATAGATTTGCTCAAATAAGATATCGAAGCTTGCTCAGTATGCTCACTTTCAATATTCATATTCCTATATATAGACTCAAGCTGGGATCTCGTTCAGCAACAGTTATATTTCTCTCACTCTCGTAAAGCGCCATTTTGAATATTCTTAAAAATTCTTGAGTAATACACTCAACACTACTCTTTCAATAAGACGCTCGCTTATCATATCTTATTATAGTCGGGATACATATGTACATACATGTATAAAACACCTAATTTAGGTATAATATTAATCAGTCCTCAATATAAAATAACTGAGTTGAGTTTTTTATAAAAAATAATATGCATACTTTAAATAGCCAAATTGGATATTGCAATTTATTCCGAACTCTATCCCAACATATTTCTAAAATCTAAATATTAGTAATTCCTACATTCAACTTAAATTCCTTAAGAATCGGTTTATCAAAACACCGAAACAAGTTGCAACAAAAACTATCCAGCGGAACGAAATGTCCAATGCTCGAATGAACTCGGGAATAAAAAGAAACACAAAAAATAAAAAGAAAAGCAGCAAACAAATTTATTTAGAGAAACCGCGAGAACAGCTGCTGCATGCCACATGGCAGCTCCAAGTCCTTTGCCTGTGTTTGACGGACATAAGAAATTGGCCTGGCCTGGCTTCGGTCTGGCTGGGGCTTGGGCTGGCCCTAATGGCATTTCATCTAGCCAACAATCAGACAGTTGTGGCACAGGTAAGCCAAGGTGAGCGAGTGGTTGAGCGACTGCTGTAAGCTATTTCCTTTTGCTTCATATTCTTCTCATCTTCATCATCATCGCGTTCTGCTTCTTCGCCTTTTGTTAGGCATTATTAGTGTCAAGGTGCGCGTTGCGTATACGCCACGTGGCCAGCTAGGGAAAGCAGCAGCAGCGAGAGTGAAGACAGACGGTAGAGCAGTGAATTAAGCCAAAGTCAGCTAAAAGCAGATCACGCTGCTGTTGCATTAACTTGTAAGTGCCTGACCCATTCGCCCATTCGTTGCATAATTAAAGCCCAGAGCTTCATTATAATTTCCATTAAAATAAGCGTTGGCCAACAGAAAACAAAAAAAAAAAAACGGGCGAAAAAAGTTGTTATCACTCTGAACTGACTGCAAGATACTCGCTCAACAAAGGGGAAAACTAAAGAAAGAAGAAGAGTTACGGCACGATAAAGCTGCAACAGTTTACGATGCAAGGGTTATAGAATGAGATGACCTTATATACGAGGGCGGTTCCAGAAGTGTCTAACTTAACCAGGGAGCCACGAAAAAAAATGTAGAAAATAATTAACGACTCCAGTATTCTTATATTTACTTTCTCATATCATATACCTTGGATAGCCTATTTCTATTATTATTGTTAGGAAATAGTCCGAAGCAATTCGAACTTAAGATCATGTTACCAAATATTTTATAGCCGAAAACGAAGGAACAGACCTCCCCCGAGTAGAATGCAGTTTGACCTCTATATTCTTTCGACTGAAACCTTTCAAATGAAACTTTGAATCACATATCAGTGACGAATTTTTCGTTGATTACAAATTCTCTTAGATGGCTCAAGCCAAGATCGATGGCTCCAAAAAAAATACGAAGCGACGTATCGACATGAAACTTTAAACTTATATTCAATAGGGTTGTCCCCTTTTAACAATATACCATATACAGGCTGTAAAACCCATACGAATATAATATAAACAGTCAAGGAATACCCTCCTATAGCCCTGCAAAACCCATATGCTCCTCTCGAGTATATACTCTCTCCAAGCAATACACCCATATCCAGGTCGTTAACATCGTTGACAGCTGTCAAAAGGGGTTAAAAAGAAAAGAGTTTGGCGCTGGCCACGCCCCTGCGCCTTCACTTAATTATTGAAGTATGCAGGCCGTGTAATTATATTTGATTAAAAACAATGCATATTGGCCAATAAAAATTTACGTTAATTATCCAGCGACCTCTGCTGCAGCAGTTGCAATTCCAATTGCCGTTGCCGTTGCCGTTGCCGCTGCAGTTGCAGTTAATAACGCTTCTTTTGTTGGGCAATTTCCACATTTATCATATGCATAATAAATTTTATTGGCCGCATTTAAAACAATAGATGCTCATTTTTATTGCCTACATTCTTTTTGTTCTTTATTTTGTTGTCTTTGTTTTCAATGCATCCGTGTTATTTGTTTTAAATTTGCATATTAATTATTCGAGAACGGCATTTGTTGCAAATGTGTTTTTCCACATGATACAATGCTTGCAATAGCCCAAAGAGCTGGACAAAAAATGCTTAAGTAAAGTTTGATATTATTAAACAAATATTATAAATCCGCTTCAAGCTTACATAAAATAACGAAGTATTCAAATTTTAAAAAATTACAAAGACCAAGTATTTATTGTATTCACAGCTTAACTCCGATGCGAGCAAACAGATTAAAAACGAAAATGTCATTTTGACAATTTTTTGCCTTTTTTTTTTTGAGAGAGGGTTGACAAAGAGAATGAGACTGGGAAAAAGGTTTTGGTGTCAATGCTAAATCCGTGTACGGATAAGTAAAGCCTTTCTCTGTCTGACACCTTTGTAGGGCATTACGTAATTATTATGTATTCGGGTCCATGGAGCAGTGGACCAGACCGAATTTTTGTTATGTATGTATATGAATGCATTAACTTATTCGCAAGACTTGAGGCATGAAAGTGGCCTTTATATTCCAATTAGGGTATTTCGAGTATGACATTGTGTGTAGCTGAAAAGGTATAACGGGAAAGCAAAGAGTCCGGACATGGAGTTTAGTCAAGCCATGGCTATAAATAAAGCTGTTTCTGTCTGTCTCTCTCTCTCTCTCTCTCTCTCTCTCTGTCTCCATCTCTGTTTTAAATATAATCCACATATTTCGTACAATTTCAAGACTGAGCACTTCAGAAGGTTAAACTAGTTATATTAGATCTTTACCATATATACCATATGCATCTTAAATACCACATGTAACCATATATATACCATTTACATATAAAAAATTCATTCTTTTACTTTGATTGGGTCAAGTCTTTATATCATACAACAAATTTAATTAATCCAAGTGTATTCGCTCGTCGACTACTTCGACAACTCATTTCGTAATTCAATTGAGCGGCTTAGGTACCATAAAAATAACACAATGTACCTCTAACTCATCTCTCTTCCTTTCTTCCATCTATTCATTTCTCTCTCTTTCACTCTCTCTCTCTCTCTCTCTCTCTCTCTCTCTCGCTTATTCAGCATCTATGCTGTGTCTCATCATCAAATAAACCGCAAACGAAGTTAAGCAAACCAAAATTAGAATCCACGTGCGCCGCTCTTGAAACAAATCCCCCGCCCTGGCATCAAACCCATTTGTGGTGGTTCTGCTTTTCTAATAGAGGTGAGAGACTTTGAGGCATTTAAGCGATTATCTGTATTATCCAAACAATTAAAGAGGAAATTATTATCTTACGTTAGCTTATGAATCTAGTGGAATTTACCTTAAGTAATTTGAGTAGTAGTGCGTGAATATTAGATGCTCTTGATGATGTTGATGTTGTAACTCAATTGTCTATTCCAAATGTTAAACTTTCTATAGATAGAAAACGGGTGTTAAATGGTTTTTTGTCTTTCGTTTCGCGCTCGTTGTTGCTTTAAAGAAGCCCTTCAAAATGCTTTAAAATCCCACAGAAAAAAAAAAATCAAACAAGAAAACGACAGAAAAAAAAGGATAAAGTTTCACCGAATTGGTATGGGGGCTATTTACGCTCATGGCGTCCAGTCAAAAGAAAACCGAAGCATAAAATGCGGCGTAAAAATAATTTCCTTATCCCTTTTTACTTTATTTTCTTTTTTTGTAGTCTTTTTTCTCTCAGTGGTTTTTCCACCGGTCGTAATTCGCAGGCTTACGTATATGGCAGATCTGGCAACCCTTCATGCATTTAATATTTTCCTTTTAACTCCCTGTCTGCGGTCCGAGCCAAAGGGCGAGCTTTTATTAGAAATGCAAATTGTTATGGCTTTGTTTTTGCCGTCAATTTATGTGACAAGCGAGCAGCCAACAAACCCGAAAACTAATCCGAAATTAGTTAAAAAAACTTAATCGAAAATGTTTCTTAGCGTTAAACATTTGGAATTACGTATTCATTAAAAATTAAATAGTTTTACAACACTTTTCATCTTATTTATATAGGGATGCCCTTTCCGTAACAACGTCGAAACTTATAGCTACGCCTTTTTTTTTTTTTTTTTGCAACTGTTTCTGAATTGATTTTTTAGCGTGAAGGTATTTTAAAGCATTTCGGGCTACACCTGGCGGTCAAAAAATAAAAGGGAAAAAAGGATATTTATTTTTAGTGCGGCCTTCGGGTTGAGCAACAAAATCAAAACAAAACAAAAAAAAAGTTGGGCTTTTATATTGTTCGGGGCTGCCCTTGGCTGGGCACTCGCCCACGTGCATGAAGTGTTTGCGGATGTGTGATTAAATCTGTGAGCCACTGTTTCCACTGTGCACAAAACAGTTATAGCGCACTTTGAGAACTGTTAATTTAACACATTTTTCTTGAGCAGAATAAGATGGAGTAAATTCATTTTTACATTTTCTTATTATATATTATCAAACACTTCACTTTAAATGTTGCATATTTATTTGCATCGACATTATCTCTCTCTCTCTCTCTCCCACGTTCTCGCTTACATTGACTAAATTGATGTTATGTGTTGACTGGTATGATAGCATAATTATTTATTTACCGTTGCACATGAAACAACTTTTACTTTCACCTAGTTGCCGCACCTAAAGCACACAGACACACGCACACACACATATAGAGCACTGCGCGTATCAGTGTATAAGAGCTGGCTGTTTGTTTGACAGTGTGTGCCTGAATTGTCTTTTCATTAGGCCAAAGCAATGCGGGTGTCCCGTTAAAACGACCGAACGACACGACTGCACTAAATATACTGAAAGAAGTACTCGAACACACCACAACAAACGAGCCAAGGCACCGCCGAGCGCCCGACAGCCAACGAGGCGGCAGAGCCAAAGCACGCCAAAGGAGAGAGCGCAAGGAGAGCACGAGATTGAGAGCGAGCTTTTGCCATGCCACAGTTAGAGCACAGTGGTGCCAGACATAGCCAACATGTTCTATTCTTGCTTCCAGTGCTCTTTCGACATTCGATGTTTCGAAGTTCTAATGCCTAGCCGTCTCTTAAGCCATGCCGGCGCACATTTCATATGCAAACGCTCTTAAGTCCAAAGTTATGGTCAGCATTTGTTGTTGTTATTCTAATTTTTTTTTTTTACACATTTACAGTTTCAAAATACACACAATTAATGCATGCAACTCGAATTTAAATTGTTTTCAGAGACAAAGCTACATATTTGCTGGTTATTCTACCCACACACACACACACTCACACACATGCACATCTGTGGACTGGTAACGACAGTTGGCTCTCACACTCGCTAAGCACTTTGCTCACATTCATTTCCTTGGCTGTCTGCCCAAATCAAACCGAAGCCCACACTACCCTACAATACTAGTTCACAGCCCAGTTACTATTCAGTTAACTGACTTTGACACTTTGGCACAAAATTGAAACGGATTAAGACAGTAGCAGCAGCCGCTGGCGGGCATATTCATTAGATGCATTTATTAAATTTCCAGATATTTATTATTTTATTTATAAATATACATATATATTTCAACTTAACTTGTCAGGTGTGTAGGGGAAATTAATTAATATATTTATTTAAATTAATAAATATATTTATTTATTTATACAAATTCTGTTTAATTTTCAAAAATATGTAATAACCAAAGAATATTATAATATTATTGAATTTTTAATAATAAATCAAACATAAAATATGCAAAAAGAATACAATTATATAATTTAATATAATATAAATACATATATATTTTGAAGAACTGCCCATTTATGTCTAAGCCTGTTAGTATTCGTAGTATTTCAGGTCTCTTAGCTTTAATGGTAAAACCATTGAGTGAGACTGTAGTACAATTTCCGCATCTGAATGAGAATGTGACTTGATATTGCTTATTCAGTTTTTTTCATATTTTTTAAATTAAATTGATCGTATATAAACGAATTCATTTCAGCATATATCATGCTTAAGCTACTCAAGAACTAATCGGATCATGTAATAAGCAAAGCAGAAATTTAATATGATCTTGGGGCTATCAAAAAATAGGTTAATACCAAATAAAGCTCCAAACATTTTTTTCCATCCGAAGAAAGATAATAAAAAATGCATAATTAATGAAAATTTTAAAATTTATTGCAAACTTTTTTCTCCTTCTCTCTATCTCCATCTCTCTCTCTCTCTCTCTCTCGTTGTCCTTACTCTATTGTGGTATTATGCAGTTAGGTCGCATTTGTACATCTTGCGTATTTTGAATAAATCGCCCTCGGTCGGGCCCACCGTCTGTCCCATCTCCCGCTCCATGGGAACCCCATCGACCAGGGCGCGTATGGTGGGCTTACTGGGATCCGTGGCAAAGGCGTTTTTCGGATAGTGCATGACGCTCTCGAAGTCATAGGGCACATCGTATGTGGTCGTGGTGCTCGACGAGGTGGCCATGAACTGGGGCCAGTACTTGCGCGGAATGTTATCGTAATCGATAACAACATGATCGTCGCGATCTGGACGACTCTGCTCGTGGTAGAGCCCCAGCAGATGCAGTGTCTCGTGCTGTATAATGCCCGGCACGGCCATGCATTTCGGAGAGAGCAGGACATCGTGCGAGCCGGAACCGAAAACCGGAAGGGGATTGTAGCCAATGCGAGTGCCGCAGAGCTTCTCCGATTTCTTATAGTAGACATAGCGACTGCCGGGTGGAGCCGGCCCCGTCAGCTCCTCGAACTGCAGGCAGCTCTGCTCGTTGAACGTGGCCAGGGCCGTGTGCACATTAGCCACCTCCTCCGGGCTGCAGTCGCTGGCAATGCGATAGTAGATCCTCGTACTGGGCCACAGCTGCCGCGGCGATGACATGGCATTGCGGGTCTTCACCTCGGCCTGCTCATCGTCCACGTCGATCTCGTTGTAATAGTTCTCGAAGTACTCCGTGCCCCATGCACCGGCTCCTGCCAGCAGGCCAAGCAGTAGAAACTGAAACATTTTGCTCGATTGCAGTGGAATGGACTTTGGGTCTTATATAGGCGCGAATCAAAATGCATTGCTGATGTTTCATTAAAATATAATTTATCAGTTTTGTGTTTTGTGTTTTTGCATTGAAAGTGTGTAACCTAGCGATTCACATGCATAGATAAACATGGACACACACTCATACATTTATATGTATATGTTTACGTATGTATTTATATTTAGACAGTTAACAACTTAGTATAAGAAACACATTGAACTTAGGCAACTATAATTAATCCCCTCTCTCTCTCTCTCTGTCTGTCTGTCTCTCCCTCTCTTGATAAGCCTAGTTTCTCTCCCCCCTCCGCATCGGTGCCGAAATTCGAAATTACTCGCTTGCTGCGACTTACTTTGCTAGGCTAGGTTATACTACAATTTGCATAATTTAACATAGATATAATATTTATATAGTGCGCATGCACACGCACACACACACACATACGCACAGATTGTAGGTAAATCTACGTAAATCGTTTTCGTATGCATGACAATATAATTCAATCATGTTGGCCCTACACTGCCGTCCAGCAAAAGTGTCGCGCTGCATCAGTTCTACTAAATTATGCCTGAGACACCAACTGAAATTTCAAGTCTCTCTCTAACATTTTTAAAGCAATTAAAATTTGGTGAATTTAATAAAAATTATTTGCAGTAGAAAAATATTTAATTTTCTTTTATTTTATTATTTTTTATTACTAGAAAACTCAAATTTCCTCATAACAATACTTTTAGAATTTGACAAAATATTTAAATGAAATTTCGACTATAAATTACACCTAGATTTCACTGAAAATGATTTAAAATTTTCATAATTTTCACATTTCAAAAGCAAAAGAAAATGAATAAAATAAAATGAAAATTCTGTTAATAATTGTGCTAGCATTACTCAAGTCAAAAGACTAAAGAACCGAAAAAACATTGCCTAAACTTCTGCCACTAGGATTCCATTCAAGCGCAGCTAGACAACTTTTTTCGCCACCAGTGTACAACGGCTCTGAGCAGGCTGTTTCAGGCAGGTGCACATTGTTTGACGCACCCAAATACATATGTGATAATAATACAATGGCAATTGCCGGTGCTCTAGTTGTATTAACACAACAAAAGGCCATCAACAACTTATTTTGCGTGTTTTCTGTTTTGATAATATTAACACTTTACAGTGCGCCTAATATGTATATGTATAGGTATAGGTATGTAAATGTTTATCGTATAGTTGTGTGCATATTCCTATGGCTTAAGCCGTGTACCGTTATCGCATAGTCATTGAGTGCACAGAAACAAAACAATGGAAATACAAAAAGGAATCGTTTAATTATCGCAATTGTTCCAAACTCTGTTCTCGTTTAGTTTATCATTTATTGCTCTGGTAAACGGATCAGTCGGGATTGTGAGGAGAAGACATAATAATCATAAAACACACGACAAAGGGCGTGGTCGCGGCAACTATGAGGACTTTGCTGCAGCCCAAAGGAGGCGTGCAATTGTGTTAGCTGCCCGACAATCATGATCATTATCATCATTATCATTATCATTATGATTAATATTATTATTAGGATTATCATTATTATTATCATAGTTCATACATATAAAAGAAATTAGCAAGAACACAATAAAAAACACATTTTGCAAGCAAAATAATAAACAGCGAATTTAAGTTGTCGTTTTGTTGTTTCCATTTTTCTGTTGATTTTTTTTTTTTTTTTTTTTTCATCGTTGTTGGTTTCTTTTGTTTTTGTTTGTTATTTGACAGTGTGTCATCATCGTCAATCGTTAATCGTCATCGTTGTCAATCCGGATCCTGCACCAGGATTGGTCACTTCGCTTGCAAACATCACAAATCAGTTCCTAGTCATTAGTAACGCTCTCCCATTCAGCTCTATATTTAAATGTAATAGTAGTAGTAATAGGTAGTTGCTATATTATCTCTATCCACGTGGCATGGCTACGATGGCGGGCGGGCGGGCGGTCGGTCGATCGGGAGGTCTGCCTGTCTGCCTGTCTGTCTGTCTGTCTGCCTGTAAATGAATCAACGAGTCTCAGCCTGATTGTAGCTCTCTCGCAGCTGCCTTTCAGCGCCTAATGCAACTCGATGAACTGATACAGCGCTCGCGGCACAACGCCCTCATACTGGAGGCTATGCTGCTTGATGGTGCGCGCCGCCAGACACGCCAGCGTTGTATACTTCATGGGATCGACGATCTTGTGCAGAGGTGTGGGCGCCAGCAGGCTCTCGAACGTCTCGCCAGCATCGTTCTTTGTGTCCTGTTTCGTATAGAGGGCGGCATTTGATTAGATTAGACAATACTTAAATTGTGCACTCTCTCAATTTATATTTACCAGATGTGCGCCACCCTGGAGCAAGGTCTGGGCCAATGGCTCGATATATGGCTGGAGTGTGGCGGCTAGATGGAGCGGCGTATTTCCCGAATCATCCACGGCATTCGGATCGGCGCCCACCTCGAGCAGCGCCTTGGCCAGCGACACGGATGGGAACTGGCAGGAGGGATACCGGCCGACGAGTGTGCCCTCGCGATAGCAGGCGTAGTGCAGGGCGGTGCGGCCAAAGCGCACGTGGACATTGAGACGGTTGAGGCGGTACAAGGCGTTCATCACCTGGCGCCGCATCTCCGGACAGAAGCTGTCCGAGTCGAGCAGCGAACTGAGCAGGCAACCAATGTGCAGGGCACTGACCAGAGTGCGACTTAGTGCATTGGGATCGTGATTGCAGTCGTGTTGGTGCGCCGACAATAACGTGGTCGATGACGACGCTGACGTTGAGCTGGCGGTTGATGATGATGATGATGATGATGATGAGGAGGAGCTGGAGGACGATGATGATGTCGATGATGAGGATGGCGATTGAGTTAGCTGCTTGTTGCCGCAGGGCAGCAGCTGCTGATGTTGATGCTGCTCCAATGTAAATGCCTGACCACGCTCCACCTCCAGCACAGCCTTGTGAAAGATGGTCAGCATGCCATCGGCCTCAATGGGCGGCACGATCCGTCCGCGCGGCAACAGGCGCCCCGCCTCCACCAGCATAAAACTGAACAGCTCGGCAAAGGAAAGTAATGAGGATTGGGTCATGGGGCTCAGTGGCTGCAAGATTTTCTGTTGCATAGTCAAAGCATATGACCAGAGTTCAATGCAGCGATCGAAGCGGCCAGCGTCTGCGTAGTGTGCGCCCCTGCAAGACCAAGACGATTCGATTATTAACCATGTTAGCCACATTAGCCACAACTTACCTGAAGCGAATGTAGTAGCTGGTGTCCGGATGCGTCGGTCCTAGAATGCGCTGTCTGATGACCAGCGCCTGCATGCGCATCTCATCCGGATCGAGAACCAGCTCCTCCAACTCCTCTATGGTGGTCACTTCGGTGACCATCTCGTATGCCGGCACCGGTTCCTGCACCTTTTTATGCAGCTGCGGCTCCTGTGCTCGCTCCTCAAGCGCTCGCCGCCACAGCGACAGCGCGACGGCCATATCACGTTTCTTGTCCACATATGTTGCACCCAGCAGTTCCAGTGCATCGATTCTCGCCATCCGACTCACGCACGGCAGCGTTATGAGGTGCTCCACAATGGGCATGTGTCCAGTCACACTGGCGGCCAGCAGTGGCGTCATGCCATAGTAGTCCACGTCCATGGTGGCGCCATGCTTCAGCAGCAGCTGCAGTATTTGCAGCGAGCCCGACTCCGCGCAGTCGTGCAACGCCGTATTGCCCTTGATGCTGCAGCGATTCACGTCCGCATTCAGCGAGAGCAGATACTGGGCGATGCGATAGTGTCCCTTGTAACAGGCAATCATTAGACAGGTGTGCCCATGCCGGTTGGCCACCTCAAAGTCTGCAAGCAACAAGCGAATCTCAATCATCGATTTGGAATAACAGAGAACACTCAACACGTCTACTCACCTGCGCCGTGATGTACCAAGTATTTGACAATTTCGTAATGTCCGTCGAAGCAGGCGGCACGCAGCGGGGTCGAGTTCGTTCGCGTCGTACTGTTCACGTTGGCAAAGCGACGCACCAGCATCTTGACAATGCCCAGATGACCCGCTGCTGCGGCACACCACAATGGCGGCGCATCCTCAATGGGCTCGCCGTCAAAGCTCACGGAGCCCACCTGTTCCACATCGGCGCGACACTTTGTCAATAAATATTCTACAATGTCGTAGTGTCCATTGCGACAGGAGATGACCAGCGGTGTGGCTCCATTCACTTTAGCCGATATCAAAGCCGAAATTTCAGCAGGGCTCTTGTTGTACAGCACATTCTAAAAATAAAAATTTTTTAAACTCATTAATATCAATCATATGCAAATATAGGTAATTTCATATATTAAAATATAAGCATAAGCACAAAAAAAAAAAAAAAAAAAAAAAAAAAAAAAAACCATTTACTTAAAAAACTGATAAAAGAAATTTATTTAGTATGCAAACGAATGTATACATGTTGCAGCAACATGCACATAATGTTGCTGCAACATGTGACAATTCAAACTTGCGTGCTCAAACCAGAATGTTGCTGCAACATGAGTTTCACACAAATGTTGCTGCAGAAAAAATTCCCTCAACTAACTTGTTGCCGCAACGTGAAATTGCCTACAATTCAACAATATAATATACATATATCCACATAAAATATTTATATTTTGTTCAAAGAATTTTTCTTAGTACCATGACGAATTTATTGTCGAAATAGAACGAATCTATATACAATAATAATATTATATGTACATATATATCTAATTTATTTCTTTTTGTGTTGTGTTTCGCAAATGTATACATATTTATTTTACTAACTACGCAAAAGTCTTAAAAAGAAAAAAAAAAAAAAAACAATAAGTAATGTGTTAATAAAATTAGAAAGTGTTTGCAAATTACTGTGAAAAATTTATGTATTAATAATACTTTTCAAATATATATTTGGCTGCAGGTACAAAATAAGGCAATAAGCCAGAAAGCCTAATTGTTTGAACATAATCA